TATATATATATATATATATATATATATAGTATAATGTATGTATGTTGTGATTATATCTCTCTCACCTAATTAGCCTGCTTCTCTCTACGCTAAACAAGCTAATAGATAGAGTGTTATAATTTATTCATAATCTCTTGTAAAGATTATGATCCACTTTTTTTTGCAACCTTCAAAAAAGGAAGCTGGATTACATAATTCACAAAAAAAAAACAATTACAAATTACTGAGGTTTTTAAACCTTTTAAGACCAAAGAAACAGAAAAGATAGTTACATCTCATGACTGGTCCATAGATCCTACTCCTTTGAAGGCACTTTCTACCCAGCATAAACAAACAAACAAACAAACAAACAAATAAATAATAAAACTGGTGTGAATTGCTTGCTTTTATTGAGAGTCAAGAGCTCAACTACAGATTTACCTGCAGAAATTATAGAAGTGATGGTTGAGAACAAATAAAAGGAATTTATCTTTTATGATGTATGCTCATTAACCAATTTTTGTACTATGACTTTGTAGCAGACAACTCAATTGCCCCCACCTCAATTTTGGATATTTTAAAGCAGGGGTCCCAACCCACATCCAGTGGCCCACTAAAGGGACAAGCCCGTGTGCAAAGTTCCACTCGTGTGTGAGCGGAGCTTCACCTGTGAGTGCAAGCCATTTGTGCGCAAAGGTCTATTCATATGACTGAAGGGCGCTTGCATGCCGCTTACACAAATGGAACTCTGCATACTCACATGCCCTCTCCGCACCAGGCTGGGCTGCCAAGCTGAAATGGTTGGGGACCACGGTTTTACAGTAAAGCAGCACTCTATTAATAAGATAAGTAATAAAATAAGATAATTATGGAATGGAATGTGGAAGTTCTCTGAGTCAAAATCCTTTAAACTGAGTGCAAAATGATTTCATTTAATGTACCAATAAAGAGGAGTCAATCTAGACCTTTCCTGTCTGACTGTGATGGTGTCTCCTTTTGCTTGAAAAGTTTGTGCTGTAGCCCTGCCACTTGACCAACAGCCTTACCTTAATTTGGGAGAAAGTTTTGCAATGCTTCAGGCACCTCTCGGAGAATCCGAAGCTTGTGAAGTTGCATGTAGATCTCCTTCTCCACGTCTTCTGCCTGGAGATGCGGGGAGCGGAAGCCCAACCCCAAAACAAAGAATCAGACATTGTGGGGCAATTTCTATATTGGCAGAAACAGACCTCTCGTGGTTTCCTCTCACAAGTTCCTTAAAAATAAGTTTATAGTTTTAGGTTGCAACACTTTTTATTCTTGACCTGTGGCCATGCTGACTAATGAGAACTGTAGTAGGGCACAATGTTATCTGGAATGCATCAGGTTGCCTCTCCTTATGGAATGGAAAGCCTGTCTAGTTTCATTATCAACCAATAGTCCTTTCCTTCCCTTCAGTTTTCCATCTGATTAAGAATTCTGGATAATTCAAAAAGTTGTGTGCTATTTTGTTGCCCTTTGTTTGGCCTACTGAATATACTGCCCTTATGTAGATAGATTTGGTTATTTTATTGGCCTGAAGTACGTGCCTCAAGGGCTCAGCTGCTAAGACACTGAGCTTGTCAAGCAGAAAGGTCAGCAGTTCAGCAGTTCGAATCCCTAGCACTGTGTAACAGAGTGAGCTCTAGTTACTTATCCCAGCTTCTGCCGACCTAGCAGTTCGAAAGCATGTAAAAAATGCAAGTAGACAAGTAGGGACCACTTTTGGTGGGAAGATAACAGTGTTCCGTGTGCCTTTGACATTTAGTCATGCTGGCCACATGACCATGGAGATGTCTTCAGACAGCGCTGACTCTCTAGCTTAGAAATTGAGATGAGCACTGCCCTCTAGAGTCGGGAACGACTGCCACATATGTGCGAGGGGAACCTTTGCCTTTACCTTACATGCCTCAGACATCTTAAGGGAATGGTGCTGAAGAACATAAACTATTTGCAATGCTACTATTTGACTTCTGCATGAGACTCTCATCATCCTTTTCCATTCCACCAGGAGTGATTTCATGCAATGCCTATTTGTACTGGGGTGAGGAATGTGGCCTTGTGATTTCCTCGCATATAAATCAAATCAAATAGCTTACCGATTCCCGCATTAATTCTGCTGTCTTCCCCAAGAGGGAATAAACTAGAAGAATTCCAGCTTGACTTATCCTCATCAAGGGATCATACATGGCCAGCAAGGAGGTCTGCAGAAAAGCTCTCTTCTGATCTTCTGTGAAGATGTTCTTGAATATCTGGAACCAACACGTGGTCATATTACTATCCAAGCATGGTAGGAATGTTATTCAATGAGTTTGTTTTAAAAAGCTATAATGGCAATTTTAAACAATACAAACTACTTAGAACTGGTGTGTCCAAGTGCCATAGGTTTGGGGGTTGCAGTACAAATGGGTGGGCTATATAACATGATTAAAAAACTTTAATTATTTAACAATGATATTTTAGCATCTAGAATTAATTGCGATGCCCACTTCTCTTCCACCTAACTTAAAATTAAAACTAAAATCAAACAGAGAACTTTAAACTTTTCTTTCCCAACCACCTGAAAGTATTTGCCATTTTTTCCTCTATAAAACCAAATTTTTCCAAGTCAGCTGATCTCCCCAAATCTGGACATGTATTGCCAGTTTTGTCTAGTGGTTCAAACACCAGGCTAGAAAGCAGAAGACGAGTTCAAGTCCTGCCTTAGCCATGAAAGCCAGCTGGGTCAGTCACTTCCTCAGCCCAACTCACCTCAAATGGTGGTGGTTGTGGGGTAAATAGGAGGAGGAAGATGTGTGGGATATGTTCATCACCTTGGCTTGATTGTAAAAATAATAAAGGTGGGATACAAGTAAATAAACAAAATGTGTTCTTGGTAAGTATTATAATTGAGAAGAGACTTGAAGATAGGAGGAAGTCGTATTTTTTTCCTCATTATTCTTTCTGAAACCTCTCTATTTTGGATGATGGAAATACCGATATATATATTTAAGCTGATGCTGGGCATCTTGTGTTCAGAATGGGAAAATACAATTTCTGGAACTCAAGGAAGCGATTTTCTTTTCTCTAAGTGATAGCTTTCAATATCACCAGTTCAAACCAAACTATAATTCCTTTCATGTTTCTGAGGATGCAGAAGTTGCTGTCATTGATGGTGGCTTCACTTAATAAATATGTCAAAATGGTCCATTCCTACTACCAAATAGTAAAAAGACATTTTCATTGATGTGTCCATGTTTTACCAGGATTAGCTCTATCATTAGATATAATATGTGCTTTGGGAGATGGACTGAGCAGGCAATAGTTGGGGCTAAATGGCATCCCTGCTGCTATCCAAGATGGCTTTTCCCCTGTAGTTAACATGCATGCTTTTCATAAAAGGCAAAGCCCTGATCGGCAACCTAGAAGCATGGCATACCCCACCCCAATACTTGCAATGAACTAACATGCCTTATGAAAGTTAGGCATCTGTTTACTAATACATAAGGCATATTAGTTCATTGCAAGATATTGGGGAGGGGGATACCACACTTCTTTAGGCTACTTCTCACAATGTGTTGTTGAAAAGACCCCTATAGACTGACCTATATAAACCTATATAAACCAGATTACAGGCAGTCCTTGACTTACAGCCAAATTTTGAGCCCAAAATTTCTGTTGTTAAGTGAAATATTTGTTAAGTGAGTTTTGCCCCATTTTGCCACCTTTCTTGCCACGGTAGTTAAGTGAATCGCTGCAGTTAATATGTTAGTAACTGGGTTGTTAAAGGAATCTGGCTTCCTCATTGACTTTGCTTGTCCAAAGTTTCCAAAAGGGAGGTCACATGACCTTGGGACACAGCAACTGTCATAAGTATGAACCAGTTGCCAAGCATTTGCATTTTTAATCACATGATCATGGGGAAGCTACAAACGTGGTTAATTGTGAAAAATGATCATGTCACTTTGTTCAGTGCTGTTCTGACTTGGAACAGTCACTGTTGTAAGTCAAAGACTACCTTTAATGAGTAGCAGGATTGCTGTTATACAAAGCAGGGGTCTCTAACCCTGGCAACTTTAAGACTTGTGGACTTCAACTCCCAGAATTCCTCAGCCAGCTTTGCTGGCTGAGGAACTCTGAGAGTTGAAGTTCTCAAGTCTTAAAGTTGCCAAGGTTGGAGACCCCTGATACGAAGGATGTGCATGATCCTCCTTGGCCTATTGGCCTATTTCACACACACACCCAAAAGCGGGTCTTACCTCACCCACCCTGCAGGCATCAAGATAAGCCAGCATCTTCTTGTCTTCTGTTTCCTGGCACCATAACTCTATGGGCTCTGTTGTGCTGAATCCTAAAAAGGAGACAACAGAGGCCTAATTCCCATTCCCCCCTGCATGATGAGCCTTTGCAATTGTACAGCTGGCTAGCTTTCTGGACATATTTCTATCACGCATGGACTTGAAGCTGAATTTTTCTTCTGAGGGCACCTTCTCTGAAACATTTCCATCTAATTCTGGCTGTAAGATGAAGCCAGATTTGAGAAACAATTCTGCAAGAGGGTTGAGGGGAATACATCCTATTTCTTATTTATGTAAAAGTAAGGCCTAACATGTTGAGGATGCTTCATGTTGAAGGGACATGCATTTTAAAATAAAAGAAAGAGAGAGAGGGAGGGAGAGAGAGAGAGAGAGGGAGAGAGAGAGAAGAAGGAAAAAAGAAAGGAAGGAAGGACAGGAAGGAAAAGAAAGAAAGAAGGAAGGAAGGAGGGAAGGAAAGAAAGAAAAAGAAAGAAAGAAAGAAAGAAAGAAAGAAAGAAAGAAAGATAATACCACACCATGGCAACTTTCAATTGGTTGCTGATTCTTTGCTACATGAGCCACCTTTCTGGAAGAAAAATGTATATGAAAGATATGAAGGATTGTGAGTGCTGACCATAAGGTGTTTGTTATCTGGAATCCCTACAAATAAATCCAAAAACAGAATGAGAGTCACTCGCTCCTCCAGCCAAGGAGGAGAAAATGTGACAGATGAACTAGATTTCAGCATTAGCATCAGAATTTCTAAGAATGCAGCTGTGGTGAGATAAGAAACATTTGTCCTGTCTCCTCACATAGAAGAAAGAAAGATTTGGCCAGTAGAGTTCAGATGATCCATAGCTACTCCTGCAATATCTAAAACCACACTTTGAAAAACGCTCTGAAATAGGGACAGTCAGATTGTGGCTCTTGCTGGAGTAGAATTCCTAGCTTCACTCACCACTGTGATTCCCAAATTTTCTATCATTATACCTCCCCTTGCCTTCCTTTTCAGGATATCCACTATTTTGAAGGTGCAAAACAATAGATCTTCCACCACTATCTTCCCTGTAGTCTGCTATGTGTATCTTCCTATCAGCCCTGCCTCAGCCTCAGCCTTCCAGCTGTACCTCATCAAGATTGGTAGTCCCCTTTCCCCTTCCTTTTCATCATCCCCCACACCTCAAATGATTTTTCCTAGTCCATTAGATCTTCATAGTATAGTTTGGTGGTTTTTTTAATCCTGTGATTTCTTTAAAGGTTTCACACCATCACTCCCCTTCTGAAAGTTTTTTCATATTCCTCGCTCCCAGTTTGGGAGCTTCTGCTCTCTAAGAAGGTAAACAGGAGCTCTCGGGGATGACCCATTCTCTCCTAAGCAGGCTTTACTTACCCATATGATTCAGGAGGAGTTGGTAAAGGCAGTTAATGGCATCTCTGGCTTGGTAGCTCACCTCTTCCACTGAATCTGTGATACAAACTGCAAATTGTGCTACCTGGTGTCCCAAACCAGGTAGTTCCCCAGATTTCTAGGAAGGAAGGAAGGAAAAGAGAAGGAGTCTTCTCTTTATGTTTTGTGTTAGCTTTTCATTTCATTTTTTTTTAAACTCTCCTTTAAGTGACCAGCAGCTAAGGAAGGACCTCTGCATCAGTGTGAAGCAATCGCCTGATTTCTGGAATGAGAAACTATCAAAAAGGATACTGTATTTTGGAGGGGATGATGGGTGTAAGATTTAAATAGGCTTTAGATATTGAACAAATAGCCCTCAACTTACAACAGTTCACTTAGTGAATTTTCAGACTTACTACAATACCAGTGGTGGGTTTCAGTTTATTTTACTACTGGTTTGCTTGTGTGACATCCGGGTGGGTGGGCAGAGCCTCCTGCCGCCGCCACTACCAGTTCGCCCGATTTGGGGTGAACCGGCAGAAATCCACCTCTGTACGGTACTGAAAAAAGTAACATGACCATTTTTCACACTGACGGCGTAGTAAGACCTGAATAGCCAGAAATTCACCCTACCCCATCACTTACAAGAAAGTGAAAACTCCCAAGATCTTGTGCAATAGCACCGACATCTTGCAAGTTTTCACTGCACTTATGCATTATTATACAAATCCGACTGAAAACACTGATTCCCTTCAAGAGTGGCAGTGCAAAGCAATTTACTGCTCAGCCTGCAAGAAAGATCTAGTTTAAGGAAGAGAATCAGATTGGTATAGTATAGGTGTTGGCTTAGAAACCAAGAGACTGTGAGTTCTAGCCCTGCCTTAGCCATGAAAGTTGGCTGGGTGACTTTGGGCCAATCACCAAGAGACTGTGAGTTCTAGCCCTGCCTTAGGCATGAAAGCCAACTGGTGACTTTGGGCACTCACTCTCAGCCTAATTCACTTCATGAGGTTGCTGTGGAGAAAAGAGGGGACAGGAGTATTAGGCATGCCTCCAATAATAATAAAAAATAGTATTTCAAAAAAATATTCAGTTGGGAATATCAGCATCCAGTGGAGGAATAGATTTTTAAAAATTATGATCTATCCTCAGTTATAATCTTCATGGAAGACTACAACATTACATAGAATAGCTTCTCTCAAACTGGTGGTGCTCATAAGGGTGGAATTTCAACTCTTAAACCTCCCAACTGATACGATCACTTAATGCCATAGAAAAATTGCCTTTCAACTTGAGGCTCTTCTTTTCCCACCCGTAATCAATGGGAAAACTACTGTATTTTTCGGAGTATAAAACACCCCCCCCCCAAAAGAGGGTGAAAATCTGGGTGCGTCTTAACCTACAGAAAGTAGGTTCTCTGTAAGTTTTAAGTTTAGTTAGGATCAAAGTTTTATAAACAGGAAAGGGGTGATTGGTGTATTCTTTCAATATGCTTAGTATCTCAAAGTTCAAATCATCACCTACCTCAAAATTTGATTGCTGATTCACATGGCGAAGTAAGGAGATGCTGCAATTAATGGCTCTGAACCTCTCTTGAGGGTCTTGTGAACGAATCCAGAAATTGATGTGCTGTGGAAGGAAATAGGAAGTCAGAAAAAGATTGGCCTATCGTATCTTCATCCAGATAATATCCAACTTTTATTGATATCTATGGGAGAGGTGGTATGCTGCCAGTTTGCACCAGTTCAGGTGAACTGGTAGTGGCGGGGGTGTGATGCTCCACCCACCCACCTACCCAGACATCATTAAGGATCTTGCCCAGATGTGCTGCGTGCAAGCAAAGTGAGTGCGGGGGTGCGCATGCTGCCGCTACCGAACTGGTAGTGAAGAAAATAGAATACCATCTCTGAACTATGGCCACTCAAGAGTCTTGACCCTTTTTGCTCCATTTCTTGAATTTGAACATTTTTTAAAATTTATTTTTGCTACTGAGTACTGACTGCTTGAGATTAGGCCAGTGATGTTATAATGTCAAAAGTGACAGAATCAAAATTCAAAGATGGGACAATCGAAACCTTTGAAGTAAGGTGGGGGGAGAACCAGCCCAAAATAAGGAGGGTTTATGGGGTGAAAAGACTTGAGACCTCTTTTTTATTCCTGAGAATTTGTTTGCAGCTCTGAAACAATGTATTGGAAATGTTGACCTACCACTTTAAATCTCTAGAGGTCATTGAAGAAATTTTGGGGAACCTGGAGAAATCTAGAGGCTTCAGGTTGTATGTGTTAAGATGTATTAAGTTCCATTTCAACCTCTCCCACTCATACTAACCTCAAGAGAACCCCACCACCATCTTCTCTTTAGCCTCTTACCTCTAATATAAATAGGAGGTGGCTGATGGTAGGTGCCTCAGACAGCAGGCCCTTCAGCATCATGTCCAGGGTGTCAAAGGATGATCTGTACAGCGCCTGTAAAGGAAGAAAACTCTGCAGGCCGATCTCCCAGGATGGAATTCTCTAACTTCATTACAAACCAACTATCTAAAGAGGAGTAAATTTATTACGGCACAAGTCCTCATGGATTTATGCATCTCCATTTCATTAGATACGCGAAGTATTGTTATTGTTGCTTTGTGTGTCTTAGCACACACACAAGTGCACACACCTGAATATAAGTTATGTGAATTTGTCATAATAACATGAATTATATTATGTGAATTTAGGAAAAAGAAGATGGCATCTACTCCTCCCTTATTGATTTCTGGGACGTACATTTCTACAGCACAGTCCTCAGCATGGAAGATCACTCAATGACATGAGTTTAAAAAGCACAGCATATTTGCCCCCAGACCAGCAAAGTTTCATCCCAATTTACCACACTATGAGGTTCGGTTGTTTGCGTTTCCATGCTGAATATACCGTGAAGAGCTAGTCGCAAAATACCTGTTTCTAGATCAGAAGCAAGCGAGGGCTTCATTTTGCTGGTAAAATAAAGAGAGAAGGCATAGATTATGCAATGGGAAACAGGGCCCCGGTGCCTTATTTAATAGAAATAGGCAACCTCCCACCATGTGTGTTTGTGTGTCTATGTCGATAGAGCAAGAGCTAGATCGGGATATAAAAGAAAGAAGGGAAATCATTCTAAGACTTCTGGTTTATAAAGGAGAACTAAAAGCAGGTTATTTTTACTGGGCAACTATCAATGACTTTAATTTAATACATTTTAATAGCAATAGCACTTAGACTTGTATACCACTTCATTGTGCTTTTACAGCCCTCTCTAAGTGGTTTACAGGGTCAGCCTATTGCCCCCAACAATCTGGGTCCTCATTTTACCCACCTCGGAAGGATGGAAGGCTGAGTCAACCTTGCCCCTGGTGAAATTTGAACTGCTGAACTGCAGCTAGCAGTCAGCTGAAGTAGCCTGCAGTACTGCACTCTAGCCACTGTGTCACCTCCGCTCTTAAATATAACATTTGTCATCAGAAAGAAAGGACAGCGTAACAATTAATGTACAAGTAAAAAAATGAAGGTGAAAATATCTGAGTGTTGTCAAGCTGTTAGTGGCAGAATCAACAAAACAAGATTGAGAGTTTAGAGAATACTGATAGAAATGGGAAGCCAAGAAGAGACCAAGGTGGTGGGGGGAGAGATAGTTTATGCAGTATTGAAGAGAAGAACAGCATGCAGTGGAATATCTATGGCTGACCTTGAGCATCTGAATTTGTTCCTAAAATGAAGAGGGTCACAAATGCTGCTAACTGGAGCTACCGTTTCCCCTAATTTGGCTTTATAAAGAAACAAACCCCCAGCTGCAGAACTAGCACAAAGGTTTTTTTTTTTGTTTTGTTTTGTTTTTTGTTAGGTAGCAGCTACCTCAGGTTGTAGACAGCGAGCATAGAACAGGAGAGAATGAAAGATGGGACTGAGTGACTGGGCAGTGTCTCCATCACCATCTGAAAGAGATGGAGGAAAATGTCAATGGAGCAAGAGTATTTGCACGCTGCTCGGTCAGGCTTCTTGTCCTCTGCTAGTCTTGTGGTCTGATTTGATGCTAAAGGAGCTCATTTACTTTCACTCGTTAGCATCAGAGAAGGGAATGATGGGAGCAGGCAAAGGAGCCCTCTTTGAGTAACAGTTTTCAGTAACAAGGAGCACTTTTGATTAATCCCAAAGGTGCTTTCCCCCCCCAAGAGGCAACTCCCAGAAGCTTCTTCAGCTCTGACTGGATAATGGGGAATGGAAGGATTTATACTCCTGTTTATACACCATCCAGTCAGAGCTGAAGAAGCTTCTTGGATCCAGTTGCCTCTTGAAAAAGCACCTTGGGACAACCATGACCTGGATGACTGACAATCTCCATGGACACTTTTGATTTATGTTTCTAGTAGTATGCAAATTTCCCTTGTGGAATATAGATTTTGATAAAAACTGGTTCAGACCAGCCAGATGCAAAGCCTATGCAAAAAGCAGAACTTGACTAACCTGAAAATTCATTATAATGTGGCAAACACCCCTCCTGTATATGCAATTAGGCATGAACAAGATCATGCTAAGATTATCAAGCAATTCTATGAACTGTTCCATGGTACATATACAGCCACTGAACATGTTTACTAGATGCTTGATGACTCAAATGAAGTTATCAAGCCAATTGAAGAACACAAATATGTTTGAACTGGGTATAAAATGATTATTTCCCTTTTAAGGGGCCTCCCACCTTGTATCCACAAAGACCTTTTTTATTTATGCATAAATAATGAGTTATTAATCTACCTTTCCAGTTTGGATCCTATTTTGCCAAAGGCACATTGGTCTAAAAACCTTGCCATGTTTTACGGTAATGGATTGCCTCCATTTTTCTCTTCTGTTTACTTCCACCAGAGGTGGTATTCAGCAGTTCTGACCAGTTCTGGAGAACCAGTAGCGGAAATTTTGAGTAGTTTGGAGAACCGATAAATACTACCTCTGACTGGCCCCACCCCCATCTATTCTCTGCCTCCCAATCCCAGCTGATTGGGAGGAAATTGGGATTTTGCAGTATCTTTCCCTTGCCATGCCCACCAAACCACACCACGAAGCCATACCATGCCCACCTAGACATGCCTACAGAACTGGTAGCTAAAGTTTTTGAATCTCACCACTGACTTCCACTGTTCCTTGATTAGAACAGCCAGGGAAACTTTGTCTCAGAACTTGATTTGGTGGCATATGTCTTAATTCCGCCAACAAGGGCTGCTTCCCCCTGTTAATTCTGCCTTGAAAATCCAAGGCTTACTTTCCACTATTTGGTAGCCACCTTCCCACTTGGTCTGATTGGAGTTGGCTCTCACTTACCACTAGTGCCTCAGTCAACTGATTTTTTGAATATGGAAGATCCAGTGTGTCTTGGCCACATTTTTGTGCAGCCACGCAACTTGCAGAAATGGCACGCAGGAAACTAATGTTTTCTTCGTGGTTATCCAGGAACTGCTGCAATGGTTAATAATTAGAGTTATTAACACAGGTATAATTTCACTATTTGATTGTTATTAATCATTAATGGGATTAAAAAATAGTATGCAGGTGTACAAATGAGTCCAATACCAAAGTAGACTCTATTCTCAGGCTTGCAAGCTAAAAAGGTAGCACAAAAGGAAAAGAAGGCTTTTGAGAGAATGGGGCTTTTCACTGGCTCTTTAATTTACTTGTGGTTAAATATTCACAAAAAGTTTCTGAAACTTCCACCCAGAGGTTTCAGATGGAGGACTAAATAAAGAACATTTGGTCACTTCCTTTGATTCCACATTGTGATTGTAATATTCCACTAGCTTCCTCTTAAGGGAGGGGCAAGTTGCCACATGAAAAATGAAGCTTAGCTCATGTAGAACAGAGCTATCCGACTTTGGCAACTTTAAGACTTGTGGACTTCAAATGGCTGGCCAAGGGATTCTGGGAATTGAAGTCCACTGGTATTAAAAGATGCCAATGTTGGACATCCCTGATGATGATTTATCTTCTCCCCCCTCTACATGGGGAAATATAATATTGAATTTTCCCACAGGGAGAAGAAAAGAGGGTGGCTGAGTCTTCCCTTTCACAGTAGATGATCTAGTGTTTAATGTGGTTTGGGGGAGGGATCAATTTCTTTCTTTCTTTGGGATAGGATGCATAATAACTACTGTATATACAGACATTTATGCCATCAAAACCGTCCTTTTAGGATAGGGGAAAGCATGCTGAATACAGAAAAAACTAAGAATATGGATCGTGAGATAAGGAAAAGAAGCCTAATGAAAACATAGTTATTAATAGAAGATATTTAATTAAGATTAATTGACATTGGAGTGTGAAAATTAATTGGCTTGGCTTCTATGTAATTTTATTTCTAGTTTGTTTTTAAAGTGCATGTGTTTATGTTTGTGAAATGTCACACAGATACAATTAGCATATGAATAAATATCCAAATAACCTAGTAGTTATACTACATCCTTTTCTCATCCTCTTATTAAGAAAAACATCACAAATACACTCCAGCCCAAGTCTTGTGGAAAAGCAAAGCCTTTTAACTAGTTCTCCAAATAGTATCAGGGAAGGGTTCATTCTAGCTTTGCAGGAAAGAGGGGAAAGAGGAACTGTTCCAAAGAAAAGGGATTGTTCCATAGATAGCCCCTCCATCATATCACTTTGTGGACAAGATCTCATAATATATCCTCTGTCATAGACAAGATCAGACAGGTAGAATCTACCTAGAGCAGAGAGTCTCACAGATACCCAGATTTAAAACCATATGGGACTTTAGAGGTGATATCTAATACCTTAGGTTGCCCCTGGAAGCCAAGTGACAGCCACAGTATATGTATCCTGTTTTCCCCAAAATAAGACCTCCTCTGATAATAAGCCCAACTGTGCTTTTAAGTCATACACTAAAATAAGCTCTCCCCTGAAAATAAGCTCTTCCCAAAAATATTGCAACACAGCAGCAGCCATGAGGTGGCCACGCTCACTGCCTCCTGCACCTCAAAAATGATAACCTCCCCAAAAATAAGGCCGAGTGCTTATTTCTGGGGTCAAAAGAAAATAAGACCCTGTCTTATTTTTGAGAAACATGGTAGCTGTCAAGATTTCTTCTTTAGATTAAAGATTGGTTGCTTTCTTCAGGAGCAATACAGAAGCCATACCTTGTCATCTCTGTGAGCATTTTCCATGAGGGTTACAATAGCTTCCACATCCAACAGGTGGTTGGGTTGCTCTGATTCAGCTGATATGAAGGATAGGCATGTGGAATCCACAGTGTCTGTTGTTGAAACTGTGGGAAAGATGCAACAAGAGAATGGGGGATGGCTCAGCAAGGGAATGGTAGCATGTAGGAGACAAAATCTTAGCTTTCTCATCAAGGCAAGTTCTTACCCTTCTCTTTAAATGCAATTTGTTTCGTTATGACATTGGGAGAAGTTGGTTAACTTCTGGTAGACACCCAAAGGTGCTTTTTCAAGGGGCAACTGGACTTCCTTGTTTTTCTTTGAAGATGTTTTGCTTCTCACCCAAGAAACTTCTTCAGCTCTGACTGGATGGTGGAGAATGGAAGGGTTTATATTCCTTGCATACAACTGGTCATTTGCATTCTTTTAGAAAGTCATTAAGCCCACTAGGAGGTTTATTTGTGTCCTCAGGGTCACCTGACTAGTGCAAATGGGTGTGGAGTCTTCTTGGAACTGCTGAAAGGACTGTGTTATAGACTGGTTATATTTTATCCCAGCAAAGATGGGAAAGAAAAAGAACTAAAACACATCAAGGAAGCCCTCAGAATGTATGGCTATCCCAACTGGGCCTACATCAAATCTGAAAAAAGACCCAGTGGAAGCTTGTCCATAACAGAAGAAAACAAAAAATAAAGCAATGTTGTCATTCCATATATTGCAGGAATATCTGAAAAGCTCAAGAGGATCTTCAGTCAACACAACATGTGTACACACTTTAAGCCCAAGAATACACAAAGGCAGAAGCTTGTCTACCCCAAGGATAAAACACCAAGACACAAACTAAGCAATGTGGTATATGCAGTACAATGCAGTGACACATGTGTAGACCTGTACATTGGGGGAACAAAACAACTATAAATGCATGACACAACATAGGAGAACAAACCCATCAGGACAAGATTCAGCAGTCCACCTGCATTTAAAAGACAAAGGCCACTCTTTTGAAGATAGCAAACTCCACATTTTGGATGGAGAGGTCCACTGGTTTGAAAGAGAGGTCAAAGAAGCTATCTATGACAAAATTAAAGAGCCCTTTTGCAACAGAGGGGGAGGGATTCGGCATCATCCATGTCCAGTCTATAACACAGTTCTTTTCAACAATTCCAAGAAGCCTCCACACCTATTTGCACTACTCAAGTGACCTTGAGGACACAGATAAACCTCCAAGGGGCCTCAATGACTCTCTAAAGGAATGCAAATGACCAGCTGTCTGCAAGAAATATCAACCCTTCCATTCCTCACCATTCAGTCAGAGCTGAAGAAGCTTTTTGGAGGAGAAATGAAAAGCAAGGAAGTCCAGTTGCCTCTTGAAAAAGCACCTTGGGACAACCATGACCTGGATGACTGAGAATCTCTATAGACATTCTAGTAGACACTAACTTTTTTAAAAAAAAGTTAATATACTGATAGAGGAGAATATCTGTAATGCAAGGTTGAAATGAGGGGTTCTTGGTGCTCTCTGAGCTTGATTGTTTTCTTGTTTTCTTGGTCTCTAAAATTCTATTACTGTATTTTTTAACTATAAGACTCACTGGAGTATAAGATCCACCAAGATTTTGAAGAGGTAAATTTAAAAAAAAACATTTTTGCCCTCCCTGGCCCCCAGGAGCACTCTGCAGGCCTCCCAAAACCTCTGCATGCCCTGTTTTTGTGGGAAATGATGCATTTGTTTGGGAGGCTTGCAAAGTGCACCTGGGGGCCAGGGAGGGCAAAAATGCACCCCGTGGGGTGTTTGGAAGGTGAAAAACGGGCCTATTTTTTTACAAAAATAATGGGCTCGTTTTTTCCAAAAACTGTGTGCAGAGGGTTTGGAAGGCTGTAGAGTGCTCCTGGGGACTGGGGAGGGGAAAATGAACAAAAAATGGCCTGGGTTTTGTTTTGCGAAAATGGGCCCTTAAAAAAAAAAAAGGGGTGTGCAGAGAATTTGGAAGGTCTGCAGAGTGCTCTTGGGGCTTGGGAGGGCAAAAACATACCTCCATTTTTGTGAAAAATGGATCCTTTTTTACTGTTTTTTGCCCTCCCCAGCCCCCAGGAGCACTCTACAGGCCTTCCAAACCCTCTTTGCGAAAAATGGGATGTACGGGGCGGGGTTTCGGGAGGCCAAAAATGCTGTATTCAGTATATACAGTAAGACACACCCAGATTTTCACCCTCTTTTGGGGAGAAAAGGGTGTGTCTTATACTCCAAAAAATACAGTACTTGAGCCAATAGAAATTGGGAACATTTAGGATTGCCTTAATTTACCCAAGTGAGTTTTACCTACTACTCCCTTTACCTACTGCTCGCTTTCCCTCTTATACCTTAGGCTCCCCTTACTTGTGGTATCAGATCGCCTCATATTTGTGCTCTCTGTGGCAATGCTGATTGCGAATGAATTGGCTTCTTTGGAATAATTATCCACTGGGTCACTTTTGGAACTTGGTGTGTTTTGTTGCTTTTCTGCCTGTGGTTTAAAACCCTGGGGACTGATTTTACAATTACTGCAGCAGGTCCAGAATGTTCTAACTTTTTCCCCATCGCTGATTGAATTGTCTCTGCTTGCTCGACAAAAGTGAAACGCCCGGGATCTTGTTGGTGATTTCTCGAGGCTTCTTGTTGGTGACCTCTGTTTGCTTCCCATGCTTTGGCCGCCTTGAGAGGCGGAAACTAAAGAAGTGGCTGGTCGTCGGTCCGGGCTGCATTCATTCTCCTCTTCTGTGGCTCCCACATTGGCATTCCTATTTTGAATGAGGATCCGAAGCCTTTCTAGCCTGAACAGATAATGAGAAAGGGAGGATTTAGCAATTCCCACTTGGACATGCTACCAGCCGTCTGAACTATCTCAAACTTTCATGGGCCTCTTGTGCAGTTTATTAAAGAACTTCTATTTCTCTTGGACCAAAATTCTCCTATCTATCCTTTCTACTCTCTGCTCCAAATCACTGTTTCTTATCCAGCAGTTAATAAGGTCAGAAACTGAGCTCATTCAGCATTCAAGCATCCAGGTGGGTTGATTCATTCATTTTATTGAGGGGGTTTGATTCAATCATTATAAGAGCCATGGTGGCACAGTGATTAGAATGCAGTACTGCAGGCTATCTCTGCTAACTGCAAGCAGTTCAATTCTCACTGGCTCAAGGGGTTGACTCATCCTTCCGAGTTCATAAAATGAGGACCCAGATTGTTGGGGCAATATGCTGACTCTGTAAACCGGGTAGGGAGGGCTGTGAAGTTGTATACAAGTCTGTGCTATTGCTATTATTTCAGATGAAATGAGACCTTACTTAGTTAGGATTTCTCTGTCCTTTTAGAATAGTTATTTATTAATGATATATGAGAAGGATTGTTATTTTACCATTGTTATGGGAACTCTTGGGGTTATCCTGGTTGCCATTCCATATATGCTTAT